CTGATATTCTGTCTTCAGATTGGTTCAGCCTATTATACATGTTTTCAGTAGAGTTTTTGATCTCCTGGCTATCTGTTTGAATCTGTTTCACGGATTCCATTTCTTTCCTATGTTGAATTCATGGTTTCCACTTCTTTCTTGTATTTTTTTTTATCTGTTTCTATTCTAGAGTCTCAAATCTTGTCTTTCATTCTGTTCACCATCTCTGTAGTTATCTGGGAAATTATTTATGTTTTGAATTTTTCTAGAGCCTCATTCATCTGTTTTGTTACTTCCTGTGCTATTGGTTCATGATGTCCTGGTGGTTGATTATCATCAGCCTTTTACACCTCATTTCACCCAGAATTTGCCTTTGGTGATCTGGTAGCCTGTGTTTGTGCTTGTGCCTTGCTTGAATGTCTTGCCATTCCTATTTTTATAGTTGGTACTGTCCTTGGTTTGATACCTGAGTTAATACTTTGATCTTCTTGTTGTAGCTTGTCTTTAGGTTTTGGACCTCTAATTACTCTCAGACAATCTCTTTTTCATTGTACCAGGAAGGACAATGGATCAATCACAACACCTTAGCCCAAGTGATACAATCAGCAACACAATAGCATCAAGCACAGCTTTAAAAAAATGGCAGTTTGTGGTAGTTATTCATCTATCACCTTGATCCATGTCAATTAACTCAAAATTGAGACTGAAGCTCAAGATAAAAGTCTTTATGATCCCTTGTGTCTCTGTGGTGTGATTCGAGATACCAGCCCAGCCACGAGGCCAGAGGTGCAAAGAGTGGGGGAGGGGGAGGCTCCACCTCTCATCAGTCTGGTGCCAAGGCCCAGGGGGGTCTATCAAATGCCTTTTGAACACTATGTGCAAGCAGGACAGAGCTGAATGAAAACTCTTCTAAGATTCAAATTACCACTGTACCAGGAGGATCAGCTTATTGGATAAGGATGCAACAGGGCTGAAATAATGCTTACATACAAAGGCACTAACTAGGGAAGTTTTGCCTTCCAGTATCTATCCTGATCCTTATTTACTTTCTTTCTACTGTCTAAGAATCCTTTTTTCTTCAAGGCACAGGTTAGGTACATTTATGATATTTTTGAACGTTATCATCAAATGTAATATTTTGTGATTCCTACAGTGTGTCTGATTTAGTTTTGACTCCCCACTAAATTGCAATTTTATTTAGAATAAGGATTAGAAGAAGCAAGAGCAACCAAAGAAAATTTGATAAATATTTTATTGATTCACTACATATGGGGTAATTAGACTTATATTCTTAAACTAATTTGACCCATTAGTAACAAAATATGAAAATATAATTTTGGTCAATTATTTTTTATATTGAAGCATTTTTTCTCAATTATTTTATATTGGAAACTATGACTATTGTACAACCCAGAAAGTAAAATTGGGAATATCAACAATTTATGTTTAGATTTGTACAGTCTCTGTCTTTATAGTGTTCTGCTTCTAATACAGAGAGCATTCAATAAAAGAAGTAAGCAAAGTTATATTTGACTGTTCAGACATGTTCACAAAGTAACACAACTCTAGTAGGTGATAGATAAGAATGCAGGATGACTATATTTGGCAAGATATTGAACACAAGGAAGGGAAATGTTCTGAGACATATGAGGTGTGATTACAAACTATAGTGAATATTTAAATTTCTTTATAGAATGTGTTATAGTAAAAGAAACAGTCCCATTAATCCCTCTCATTTCCAACACTCTCATCCCATCGTTACTGTTTCTTTCTGAAGCAGCTCTGCAAGTCCCCTTTCATGAATGTCTCTAGCTGCATGGTCAGAGCTGCCTTGATGTCCTGAATTAATTCAAAAAAATTACCTTTCACAGTCATTTTGACTGTGGGGAAGGGCCAGAAGCAGCACAGTGCCAGACTTAGAGAATAAAATGGACAAGGACAAACCATTAGTTTGTGTTGTCTTTCCATTGGATGACACATGGCAGCAGCATGTACTCCATAAAGACCCATAAAAACCCATAAAGATATCATTTAAGAGGACTCCCAGAACCTCTTCAGAAGTGATACATACAATGGCCTTAGTCTGTTCAAAGCAAAGGGAAGTATTTTAAGGGCCACCAATGGCAATGATGTTATAAATTTTAACATTTAAAGTTCAGCATGCATTTGATCACACCATTCATAAGCCCTGTATGAATGGGAGCAGGAAATTAAGAAAGCTTAGAAAATTAATTTCTACCACCAGTGGTGATTAAACTGCCTGGTGGATGTAAGTAGGCCCAAAGAATATGCCTGTTGGAACTTACAGAAGATGTTTTGCATGGTTTTATGGTTGCCTAGTAACCAGGCTCCTACTTCCTGTCAGCACTTGATCTACCTGTTATCAAAGCTCCATTATGCATAGCCTTGGTAGAATGTGGTGCCCAGCCATAAGGAAACTGAAGTGGGTGGAGGAAGACCTGTCACTCCATACACCACAGCCTGCAGAAAGTGCATGTGGGACTCCCAGGCTCCTGACACCAGGAGTCTTGATGATCTCATTCACTAATTAGAGTTCACATCCTCTGACATGGTGGTCTGGACCAGCTTCTTATCAGTACACTGATCTTCGTGCTCGTGCACACACCTGTGTGTGTGTGTGTTTTGGGGGTATTATCAGGTTTGAGTCCAGTGTTTTCATACTGTGCTAACTCCAAGCTCCTGTTTTTTCACTATATTTTAATTGGAGATAGGGATTCACTAAGGTACTAAGTTATTAAGAAGGGGTTCAAACTCGCCACATTCTTGCAGCAGCCTCCCATAGTGCTGGTGTAGCAGCTGTGCCCCTCCCTGCCCGGCATAACATTGGTCTTGTGCTTCCGTGAGCCAGGCTTCTAGGCTGTCCTTGGTCTTTGCCCATTGAACAAATAAAACTGGACAGCTTACCACAAACCTTGGCCTTCCTACACAATTCTTATTTTTCTTAAGGTCACCAGAATTTAGTTCTAAAGCTTGAAAGCAAGAAATGCAATGAATGTCACCTTAGGCAGTATTCAGCCTTTTTCCCTACTTCTTCCAACCCAGTCCTCCGAACGTCTCTTTCCCTTGTGGGTTGTCTTCTGCGCTCTGCCTCTTCACCCCAGAACCAGGCACAATGATGCCATCTGGTACTTCTCATTCAGAACCTCCTCCTGGGGCTCAAGATGATGAGAATATTGAAGCCCAGCCTGGAGCAGCCATTCCAAACTGTAGATCTCTTGGAGTCTGATATATTGGGGGCTAACAGTGCAGCCTCTGAGATTTTGAATACTAAATTATTGGGGAGGCCCAGAAAATTTTATTTTGCAAGCTAAACCGAGTCCTGCTATATAGAATCAAAAATCCACTGTTTTATTTGGTTTCCATTGGACTTTGAAGAAAAAGCTCCAACTGTTAGCAGCTGGATGGTTCATTCCTCATCTATCTCGTGTTTCATTTCTGTTTCTTTCACAGACAGATCGGTTGAGCAATATGATTTCTACAGCCTTCAGTGGATGGCTTGGAATGCTGTGTGTCTTCTGCAATTCTTGTTACCAAAGTTTGTTTACTACACTCAAGTTTCTAGCTTTCTGCAATCTATTTTAGAGCATTTTCAAAGGTTGGAGTAGTCACCGTTCTTATGAGACAGTGTAAGTTTTGCTGCTCCAGGAGTCCTTCCTCTGAGGTTGAGAAGGGCAGAGAAGGGCAAACACTTGTTATTAGTGATCACCTGGTAGAGTCCTGCAAGAAGCTGGGAAATAAATGTTCCCAGATCCAGAGTCTCAGAGAACACAGCAGTGAGAAATTCCTCTTTAAACTGTCAAATATATCTATGAAAGAGAAAATAACATTAATATTAAATGAAAATCTTCTCTTTTGAAAGTAACCTCACATTTGCTTTCTGAGTATTTTTTTGCATAGAAGATGAAAATTTAAATACTTCAAAAGTTTCACACAGTCTTCATATTATATAATTAAATAATAATCGTTGGAAGTTGAAAATACAAATTATAATCACAATGCTAACTTATAAAATCTTAGAATTTATAGTTTCAGATTTTTAACATATTAGATGTATTTAACTCTCTGTGGTCTGCTTATATCACTGCACTATAGGGTTAACTTTGTAAGCTGTTAAAATTGATCAAAGAAGAAAATACTTGTAGATACTACATAAATATTGTCACAGAAACAATGTATCATTCAATTTAAATAGTGTTGAGGGATAACAATAATAGTAGCTTATATAGGTTTTGTCACTATTCTAAGCAGTGTGTGTGTGTGTGTGTGTGTGTGTGTGTGTAAGAAGACAGAGACAAAAAGAGGCAGTAATTTAATATTTGAGAACATCCCATGAAATTAATATTATTGTCCCCATTTCTCACATGAGAAAGCCAAAACACGAAGAAATGAATAACTTGAAAATGTCAGAGGTTTCACTAATTTTTTGCATAAGTGCAGCAAAAACAAGTTTTTTCCTGCTTTTCAATTTTTCAATATATATAGAAAGAGTAATCTGTACTATTCTCACTTCCCTTCCATATCCGAGCTCATTGCCTGCCTTTATGCAGATAGCAAAAACAGCCAGCCAGAATACCATGTAACTGCTAGAATTTTAGTTAGCTGGGAAAGAGAAGCACCAAAGTGTATCACAGGCAGAGCTGGCCCGGGGCATTGGCAGCGGCTCTCTAAGCTGGGATTCACGGGAACAATGCAGGGTGTGCAGAACCCTTCACAGACACCTGAAGCCTTGCTCTGGTCTTACAGGCGTGAAATTCCCACTGCAAACCACGACTCTCTGCTCTACCCCTTCTCTCTCACATTTGTTCTGACAGAAGACATGAAAATCCTGCTCTTTATGTAGGACCACAAATTCCCGGGAGGTACAAGCCATGCAATCTGATCACCAATACTTTTGTGGCAAATTATTTACCAAATTATATCATGACAAATATTTAGCAATTTTTTTAGGAGAAAAAGAGTTAAAATTATAAAATTTGATTTTATTTGCTCTTTAAAACTAGGTAAGCCCTGCTGTGGGAATCTCAGTTCTAGAGAAGTGTCCAGAACGGGAGAGAAGAGAACCTCACTGTGCTGATTTTCTGAGAGTAAGTCCATGATGGCTTATTTGTGAGTTCCTGGGTTTACATTTACAGGAGCACAGCACTCCTGACCCTAAGCTTCTAAACCAACGTGCTGATATCAGAGGACACCAGAACAGAGATGGGAGGAGCCGGACAAAGGAGTGAAAGTCCTAAGCCAGAGATTTCAGCCTCCTCTGGGGGTTAGATGAAGGCTCAAGGCCTTGTTCAGGGCAAGGAGGTCGAAGAGAGGAAGTAGGACCCGATTCAGAAGGGGCCGCGCTGTAATGGGATGTGCGGAGACCCAGGGTATTGGGTGGTGTTAGGATAACCAAATAATCATTACTTCAGGCTATCTATAAGGTGTCCAATTTGTACCAGGTTCTTTGCCATGGAGCTTCTTTTGCAGTGTCCAACTTCATGGAAGTGTCTCTCTCTCCTCCCACCCATTTGTGGTTAGTGAATTAGTGAGGAGGAAAGAGTCAGGCCGAGTTCAGAGACAGGAGGCCTCTCTCTTTCACACCTGCCTACTTCTGGAGAAGGCTGCTATTTAATTTCTTCTCACACATGTAGTATACAGTACCTACCTTCCCTCCCAAGGAAGCCTGTGGCGTTCTCCTCTGTTCCTTAGTAGAAGAAAATTGATTTATGGAGTACAATATTAGCTATAAAATATTAGCTATCCCACAGGGGTCCCACATCCAGATCACAGCTTCTGACTCAGTCTTATCAGTAACAACACCAGTATTAAATTTTCCACTGATCTTCTTTCACAGTCCTATAGTTGAGAGGTGAATTGTAAGTGAAGTGGCTCATCTACTGTAAAACTCACACATGGTAATTCCTTTAATTCGTACAGTGTTATTTGTGTTGGTATTAGTCTTCTATTGCTAACACGCCAAATTACCACAATCTCAGCAACTTTAAAATCCCAAATCTGATATCTTGTGGTTTCAGTAGGTCAGAAGCCCAGTACAGCATGGTTAGCAGGACCAGCATCTTCCCCTGGCCCTAGAAGGCTGAAACCAGTGTTGCCTGAGGCTGTGTTTCCCAACTGGGCCTTGGGGTCTCCCTATTATGGCCAGATTTTATCTCTTAGGTCTTCCAGAAGATGCATCCTCCATCCTCAGGTCAGGATTACCATATGGAATCCTCAGCTTCTTTGATCTACTCTTCTGCTCCCTCACCCACTCTTTTTTTTTTTTTTCCCAGTGGCTGTGGGTTTAAACACAGGGCCTTGCACCTACTAAGCAGTGGCTCTCCATGGAGCGAAATCCTCTGCCCAGCCTTCAGGTTCTTGAGTGACTACAGTGAGAGAATCTGCACAATGAAGGATAATTTTCCAAATTTAACCTTGGCATATTTGTCCTTAATTACTTCCTGAGAGGCCCCTCCATCCTGTAAATGGAAAGGTATCTAACATCAAGGTGCCCTAATCGCAGGAAGGGGCCCATATTCCTGTTTACCACAGTTAGGAAGTAGCATTTGCTTTTCAGAAATAAGAAATTTGAGATTCAGAAAGACAGAAGAACTTGCCAGAAGTCACACAGATAGGAAATGGTAAAGCAGGAATTGGAGTCCAGTGCTTCTCCTGACCTGAAGCTCCTCCAGTCCTGTCTGTTGGTCACATTGTTCCCCCTGTCCGACTCTGCAGTGTATTTCTAACCCAACCCAGCAGGGCAGGGCTTCTCCATAGAACAGGGGCGAGAGCAACCTACTCATTGAACCCTGTAACTCCTTTCTCCTGCATTTTCATTTTTCTGTTCTGACGCTCTTCCTTACGAAGGACAAATGGTTAAAGGGAAGGTAAAGGGAAATGAAAAACAAGGAAATATGAGAGAGTAAGTGCAATGAGAGGAAGAGAGAGAGGGAGAGAGAGAGTCAGAGAGACAGAGAGAGGCTGAGAGTAAGAGAAGGGAGGGACAAGCAGAGAAGACACTGAAGTACTCGGAAATAAACTTTCTGCAGTCTTGGGCAATGGCTTATAGACTGAGAAATTAGCTAAAACTGGCTCCGGGTACAAACTGTTCTGTCATGACTTCATGGTGGGGGCTAACCTGTCATCCCTTTTCTTGAGTACTGACCAGATAAAAGGCCACTTCACCCACTCTGTTTGCATTCCTACGCCAGGCCTCTCATTGCTGACTGTCCCAGATAGAAGCGTCCAGAGCAGAACCCGGAAGAGCCTGCGACTGCTCTCATGTGGAAACTATGTGAGGGCGGAGCTTGTGCTGGAAGACAGTTTATTCCACTTTGAGTCTCATCCTCCACTGATCTCAGTGAAAGAAGTTCCTCTCTTCCTCTCTCTGTGCTGTACTTGCAGTACAGCTCTGCCCCTTTTATTCCCTCTCTTCTCCTCAATCCTCAAAACTTATTTTTCCTTTACTGCACCTTTTCATTCTAGCCCCTGCGAGCCCTATTTCACTGAGCAAGGTGTACTTTTAATATTTTTTAACTGAAAGTTTCCATTGTAGGCAGATCACTCCAAATATCAATTCCTTCTGGGAGTTAGTATGTGGAGACAGTTCTAGGTCCTGAGAAAGGACACTATCATTAGGACTTTGCATCCGGTGGTGCATTAACTGGTCCTGAGAGATGCAAGGAATACCAAAAAATGAAGAGAGCCAAAGAAATTATTTTGGCTGGACAGGGCAGCAAGTCATGAGGCAATGGACACTGACAATGTGGAGATTCTGTGTCCTGTGCTAGAATAACCATGAGTGCCAGGGCAATGTTTTCAAATGTGAAATGAGTTTCCAAGTAGTGGAGTGCCTAGGTATGAGTATCACTGGGTGAGACTACCTTTACAGCCTGACCATTAACAGGACAATAAACCAACAAGACCGATGCCATGTGGTTGTCCAACAGGAGACAGCACCATGATTTTCATGCCTTGTGAGCCATCCCACACTCCTCCTCCAGCAAAGTCCAGCTGTAAAGTGCAGGCTCCCCTGGTAGATGAGGCCAAGCCCCAGGGCTACCTGCCTGTCTTTCTAAATGTCTGTGGTGTACTCCTTCTGTTTCCTTCTCAGGGGAGAATTTCAGTATCATAATCATTCAGGCTGCTATAAAATATCACCAACTGGGTGGTGCATACCAAGACATATGCTCCTTAGTGTTCTAGAAGTTGGAAAGCCCAAGGTCAAGGGGTCAGAAAGTTGGGGGCCCAGTGAGAGCCCCTCCTTGGTTTACGGTGGCTTTTCTCACTTATCTTCATTGGTGGAAGTTCAAGACAGCTTTCTGGGCTCTTTCCCAAAGGAAGCAATTCCCAATCCCAGACACAAAGGCTCCACACGTGTGGTCCAGTTACCTGTGAAAAGGCCCCACTTTTGAATGCTTTCACTCTGGACTTGGAGGTTTCAAAGTAGGACTGGAGGTGTTTGGTCATCAACCTCATGTTTCTATCCTTTTCTAGGGAATCCTGTACTTCATTCTCCAAGTGCATAAGGGACCTCTTCCCGGCATAAAAATAACTTTAATTGTATCTGTCCTTTCCTTTCTGTATTCCCTTCTTGTCCTAGTGAAAGAAGTGTCTCTCTCCTCCACAACAAGGATAATTCTTCCTCCTGTTTTGAGATTTCATTCCTTTTTGCTTCTCAGAAACTGAGAATCTAGCTTGCTGCCTCTTTGTACAACGTTTGAACACTTTTCAAACAGAGAGAACATGCAGAATTTATGAAATGCTGAGGTGCTGCAAATGGGGAGCCCTCACCCTCCAGGAATGGACAGCAACCCAGCCCTACCCCATCTTTGTAACATCTCTTCCTCACTAGAGAGCGGTCATTGTTTTCCTCTCAGCCTCAAGTTCAAACTCCATCCAAAATCCCAGGCGGTGTAGCTAACTCAGACTTTGATTGTGCAGGTGGACCCAGCTGACATCCACAGACACATGGGGAGGAAAAGCAAGATTTCTGCCTTTCTTTCAACAACAAAAGGGAATCCTAAGCCTCCGTCCAGCCTAGCTGTGGTGATGCCAATCTTGGCTGTGAAGGATCTGGGGAGCAGGACGTGTATGCAGAGATATGAGCCATATGCATAAGGATGAGGAGGGCCTTGGATGGAAATCAAGTAACCAACGCCTCAGGGGCATGCGCAGGAAAAGGACCTGAAGAATAGATTCTCAGAAAGCAGAGGAATTGACCGCATAATTTGTTGTTCCCATTTGACTTGCAAAATTCAGACACATCACGGTGCTTACCAGTAGACTCCATGAATGTAACCAAGTAGTGACCTCGGTCGCAGCTGCTGTACCTGAGAAGGTGTCTGCTAGGAGAGAGAGAGAGACCTTGCTGCTGGCACATACCAGCCACTCTTTCCCATCCCCGTAAGAAATAGGATGAGGGGCAGTTCAAATTCATGTGTGGGAGACAGGTGGACAGCCGTGTGCGTTCACAGTCACCCCTTAGGACCCTGAAGATTCTTCCGCTGCCTTCCAGACTCTGAAGGATCCTGGATGTCCAGACATCTCACAGCGCATTGATGTGAAGGGACAAGCACACGGTACACAGGGTGAGGGAGGTCCAACCACACAAGCGTGCCTGGGGGAGAGGGGCAGTGAACCCTGCAGTGCTCCCCGAAACGGCCACTTCGTTGTCAGGGTGAGGGACTCAGTGATCTTAGGCACGTTGGCACATCCCCTCCAAAATCCAGCACAGCTGCAGCACCTTGTGCCTTCCACTGGGGGTGGGGGTGGGACATGGGGGGGCAGAGAGAGAGAGGGAGGGGGGCAGGGGTCTTCATCCCACATCGTAAATGTTGCAGAGCTGTCACCAAGTGTGGTGAGACATTGCCTCCCCTCAATGGACATGAGTACAGGACGGAGCTCCGAGGCAAGAACAAATCCAGCCTGGGTGAAACCAACCCTGTTATTCCAGCCCTGCCTCAGGGATGCCCTAAAGGTGCCATGCCCTGTGGTGAGAGGAGACGCCCTGTGCCTGTACAGCAGCCCCAGCCAGGAGTGTCCACTTCTGAGCCGCCAAGCAAGGACACGGCCATTTCTCCTAAGCTGCTGTCCGTGCACATCTCTAGGCTGGGGCACCCACCGCAATCCGGGGAGGGTGCAACAGGACCCCTGGACTTGTGCAGGACAGGCTGAGAAGACAAATGCAGCCCGTGAGCAGGCGTGGGCACTTTTGCCTCAGCCTCTCCCACACAGCCTCGCAGGAGGCCATTTAGGGCACTGCGGAGGAGGGAAAGGACAAGTAGGATGAGGGAAGGGGCGCCTGGCCCAGCTGACAGCCTTATGACAGGAAATCCTACAGGTGGCACAGTTCCTGGCGAGGAAGCTGGTGGGCCCTTGGGTTCGGAGACAAAAGTCAGGGCACAGAGCCGAGCTGGAGCACGTCCTGAGATGCTTTTGACTCACACTCTCTGGGTTCCTGAAGGGCTCACCGTGCCCTTCGTATACTGCGCAACTCCGCGTGGGCATCAGAGGGATGGATTTACCCCTCCACAGTACAGCCACAGTGCCAGGGCCTCAGGGACACAGCGTGAGCCTGTGCTCCTCACAAGTAACCCAGCGGAGGAGACTCCAGAGATCAGGAGCGGGTGACGCTGCCTTGCCACGCCCAGCGGCCTGCCTGAGGGAACTGGCGTTTGTCATCTGTGTTCTAGACTGCGAAGGCCTAGAGTGTCCCCTTCCCAGAAACCAGATCACTGCAGCTCAGGTGACCACTGCCACCTCCTCCTGCCGCTCAGGAGCGCTTTGCCACAGACTGGCCTGGAGGTAAAGGCCTCCCTGGCCGGGAGAACGCCCTTCCCACACAAAGGGGAGAACAAAATTGTACTCGCCTGCCTCCTTTCTCTTTTCCCACCTTGGGGACACAATGTACAACTTTTATTTTGTTCTTCTAAATAACAGTTATTGTTTGTGTAGCTTCTATTTCCAGAATCACGACTCCTGTGTTCTCTCCAACAGTGACCTTCCACATTGCCTTAGCATTAATTTTATGTTCCAGTGGATTACATGTTTATAATGAGCATTTGCACAGTGACTTTTAATTAATGCACTATGTATACCTAAATATGATTATGTAGGGATACATTCATAATATATGCCTTAGTATCGCTCACTAAAAGGTATCTTTGATGTTTTAATGTAATGTCACGTTTTTGTGAAATAATGTTTCCCCTCCTTAGTATACACTGCCGTAATTTTTTATATAAAATGTAATATCACTAAAGCCAGAGAAGCCCTGCAAATGTGCAAATATTTAGCTTTCCTACACCCACTACTTAAAATCTAAATGATAAATCTTTTATGTTTATTGAAAAAAGGGTCATTTAAAACATTTGAGTGGAACTAACATGTATGAAGTAAAAATACAAAGCCCTTTTTCTTTCCTTCCCCTTGCTGGAGTGGCCACCTGTCCAGGTGAATGCGTGCCCCCACAGATATTTCTAATCTTATGCAATGTGATTGTAGCATATGTATTAAAATGAAATATATTCGTCCAAAATATCCATCATAGACACACCTTACCCTTCCAATTATATCATTTTATTTGGGGTTTTAATTTAAAGAAGTTTTAAACTCTAATGTGGTTACATGTATGTTTATTATCTTGTGATTTCTCTTCCCAGGTATTTCTAACTGCTTAAGTGGAAGCTAGGATGTGCTTAGATATTTCAGCACTGTGGGTCATCTATTTAGATTACTTTTTTTTTTAGTTTTTTTTTTGGTACTCGGGATCGAACTCCGGTCCTTGCACGTGCGAGACAGGCGCTGCAACCACTGAGCTAAATCCCCAGCCCTTATTTAGCTTTCTGAAAGCAAAGAATATTGCTTTTTTATCTCCCTAAAATCCAACTAAGATAAGGATTCAAGAGAAAACTGAAAAGAACCCAATGTTTGAAAGTCCTGTTCTGTGTAAATATGATTATCTGGTTTCCCTGAGCTACCGCAATCACTGACAGCTTCAAGGTCGCAGTTTAGTTTCACTGGTGAAACTGACCTTTTAGACCAGGGTCTGTTTCAACACCTGGTTTTTATTGCAGGTGCACATGGCAGGTACACTAACTGGAATTCTAGGGATCTGTTGCTGCCTCTCCACTGAACTCTTATGACAGGCTTGCTCTCTCAATATTTTTTCCCTACTTTGGCCCACTTATTGCAAATTTTGTATTTCTTTTTAATAAAATAATCAAAATATGATCGAACATATTATTGGGCCACCTTAGATGATGGAATTGGCTCCTACTTCTGAAGGAAAGCATAGATACTTGAAACATCAGAAGGTTGATATCCAAAAATATCCTGTGTTAATCAGATTTCTGTGGTGACAAAACAGCCAAGGTAGTAAAGTTTTAAGGCAGAACATTTTATTTTTCTGACACTGCTTTAGAGGTTTCAGTCTATGGCCAGTTGACCCTGTCACATGGCAGAGCTTCATGGAGCCCCCTGTAGTGGATGAAGCAAGCTGGTCACCTCAGGCTTGGAAGCAAAGGAAAAGACAGAAAGAGGTCAGTACCCGATGACATCACTTCCTCACATGAGGCTCCGCCCACTGAAGTTTCCATCTGTACCTAAAATGCCATAGATTAGGGACTGGGCCTTCAACACGTGGGCCTTTGGGGACATTCAAAATCCAAACTATTCTGATTCCATTTTATCTCAATATCTAGCCAGAAATATTCTTTATTCTTTCTTGTGAAAGTGTTATCTCTATTAATTTATTAGTGGAAAACTTGATTCCACGTTTAATCACTCAGGCTTTATACAGTTTTGAGTGAAAATGTGTCCTCTTAACCCATGAATGCATAACGATACGCAGTATAGACAGTGGGTGTGCAGCTAGGTCCCTGCTAAGGAGCTCACAACTCAGTGTTGTGCCCTGGTATTTAGCAAATGGGTCGTGGCAGGTGATCAAGTACTCTATAATTTCTGACACATGATGGTTTACAAAAGGACTTTTGTGTGATGTCGGTAATCAACGGTGAATCTATCTAAAGCGGTGAGGTCAAACCTTTTGGAGACAAATATCCACACTGCAGCGCAAAACCTGCTTATTTGTCTCAAGATGCTGACACTGCAATTAAACCTGAAGGCCAAGGTTTTAGCTTAGAAAAAAATCAACTTGTACATCAACTTCTTTTGTCTTAAAAGAAAATCAAATTACATGTACTCCATAGGTTTGCCACCCCTGGTCTAGAAGCTCTCAGAATCTTTAGTTTTGTCCAATTGTTACAGAGCTTCAGATGGTTCTCTGTTACCCTGAAGTGTTGAAGTTGTTCTGGTTAAACCATGAGTCTTTAGAGCCTGTTCTCCAACGCTCCAGCAAACACATGCTTTCTTCTAATAGGGGTTTGGTAAGTGCAGGGGCCATCATAGAAGGCTCTATCAGGAAAAACTGAGGTAAAGATGGAATTTTGCAGTTGTTTAGAATGGATAACAAGTTCTCTGGTGGGTTTATGACTTAATCTGGAATGAAATGCAAAAAAGTGTTGGATTTTCCCATCAGTCTTTGAAGTTGCTCTCACAAACTAATTTTATTTATTTTTTAATCTTTCGGCCAGTGAAGCATTCAAAAGCAATGACAAGAGAAGGAGAAGCAGTGTCCTGTGGTCACGGTCCAGGAGAGCCCGTCTGTGGCCTCAGGCACAGCACAGGGTCCATCTGTTTAGCCAGATTTTTCCTAATTGAGGAGAAAACAGCTGATTCTTTAATTATAAAATTGCAATTTCTATCTTGAGGGTTTCATTTCATATTTGTAATTTCTGTGATGTATGCCATTAGCATATATTTTTAGAAATAAAATATATAGTGATCATTATGTTTTTGGCCCTTGAGCAGAATTTTTTTGTCACTAGTACAAATAATAATGGTGACAGAAAAAGTACAAAATGTGAAAAATATTGCTGTACAAGTTTTTTTGGTAAATCAAGCAGAATGGAAATTTCTTGCTATGCCTTAATTTCACTCATCAGTAGGCCTGAAAAATGTTGAAGTAAAAAACAGAAAGAACAACGCCAGAGCCGAAGTACGTGTTATTGTGTCACATTTTTTTAGGAAAGTTATTTTATAAAAAATATTATTAAGTTCCTCACCTAAACTATATTTGATATAATGAAGTTACGTGTTTTTTTCTTTTAAATTTATTTTTATTTGTACACGTCCACAGGAAATAATGATTACATTCCTTGTGGAGAATTATTATATGAACATAATACGTCTTAATTTTTTATTTCCATTTTCTCTCCCCTCTCTTCTCCTCCCTCCCCCTCTTGGTCCCTTTGTATTTGCAGGAGTTCTATCCCATTTTTTTCTATTGTCTGTCTTTTGTTTAACACTCCAACTTATTTATGCTTTGGGCTTGTCATATAAGAAAGCCATGCAATATTTAAGCCTGTGCGTCTGATTTATTTCACTTAACATTATGGTCTCAAGATGCATCCATTTCCTATAGATGCCCCAAGTGTGTCCTTCTTGGTGACAGAGTAGTACTCCATGGTGTAAATAACGTATTTGATTTATCCATTTATCTCTTGTCATGCAGTTTTTTATAAATAGATTTTATTTTTATCAGGAACCTTGAACGGATTTGTGTGCATCTGAAAGACACATCAGACTTGACAACCAAAATTCGATTTATCCATTTATCTCTTATCATGCAGTTTTTTATAAATAGATTTTATTTTTATCAGGAACCTTGAACGGATTTGTGTGCATCTGAAAGACACATCAGACTTGACAACCAAAGACAATTTTCCTGGCCAATACTTAGCTGTAAGAAAAGTGTCACTTTTAAACTAGCCAAAGTTCCTAGAGAATGTGAAGAAAAACGTCACCCAAAAATACTGAACTGGCCTCCTGAGACCTCATACACTGGACTCTGCTTCTGAGGGAGGAGACCCCCTCCACCTTAAGCCAGAGTTCTGCTGGTGCTGCCACCCGTTTCCAGGAGAAGTGCAGCTATCTTCAGAGCTACCTGGGGATGGCTGAATCCTCAGGTTCTCCTACAGGTCCTCACACTGCATAGGCCTTGCCCTGTACATGTGTTTCCCTCCTTATTTGAATCAGAATAAAATATTTTTTAAAAAGATGTTTCAGCATACAGCATATTTTGAGGAAATTCTTCAAAGCCACGTATTTATTTGTTGTACCTCCATGCCATAGTTTCTGAATCTCTTTTCCCTTTTGACATCTTCCCAGTACACAGGCATGAAACTAAAAAGACTCCTCACAGCTCAGTGAACAATAGAAACAACTAAGGACAGTCAGCTCCTCCAGCAACAGAGACATCAGTATTTCCAAACATTCTCATTCCCAAAGTGCTTCCTTCCAGGTGTGTCCAACCTGCAGCCTGCAGGCCATTTGCCATCTTGTTATTTTTAATGGTGTAGTTAACAACTTTAAGAAATAAAGGAAGGGTTGCTGCTTCCATATGCCGAGTACATTATACATTTTCTATGTGGCCCAAGAAAAACCCTGTTCCCTACATAGTTCTGGAGCCATCTTGGACCAGAGTGGGCTCCTAGGGCTATCCCTTGGCCAGGGGACCTGCTGAGTAACATCCCCAGCACAGCCCACCATGTTGGGGTCACTCTGACATTGCTATGGGGTGTGAACTGGGGGAGCAGAAGTAGCCACCTCTGGGTTTCGATGTGGACACCCTGGTCTCACCAGAACTCACTCTCATCCATCAGCCCAAACTGAGAATGGTTCTCAAGACCCCTGCCCTGATCCACTGAGCCAGAACCCCTGCCCTTGCAGCACCCTGTAGAAAGCCTGTAGGTCTGGGGAGCAGGGCAAGAAGCTTGTCCTGCAGGTCCCAAGGGCACAGAACTGTACCTGGTCCTGTGGTCTCAGCTTCCCTTTCCTGGTCGTCTCCAGGGCTAAAGCTGCAGAGCCAGAGAGGATGTGAATGCTGAGGAAGTCATGCTCACACCCAGCCCACTGCCACTCTGGAAGCTCATCTGCTCAGTTTAACATCAACAGACAGCTGGAGAGCTAGATCAGACCTCACTGCTGATCCCCTGGCTTTCACTTTATCCTCACACATGGAAATTAACAACATCGTTCTGAACAATAAATGGTCACAGATGAAATTAAGGAAGAAATTAAATGGTACATACAATTAAATGATAATTGTGATACAATATACCAGAGCACAACGGGATGCAATGAAAGCAGTCCTAAGAGGAAAATTTATAGAGTTGAATTCTCACATCAGGGAAACAGAATAAGCTCAAATGGACAACCTAATATTGAACCTAAAACATGTAGCAAAAGAACAAGTCAAACCCAAAGCTAGTACAAGGGAGGAATTTATAGAGATCAGAGGAGAAATTAGTGCAATTGGGACTAAGAAGACAATGCAAAAAAATCAATAAATTGAAGAATTTGTTCTTTGAAAGAATAAATAAAATGGATAAATTTTTAGCCAAAAAATGAGAAAAAAAACTCATATTAATGTAATTAGGAATGAAAAGAGTAAAATCACCACTGATCCTGTAGAAATCCAGAAGATCATCAATATTTACTTTAAGAACCTGTAAAGATGGAAAACACAGAAGAAATGGATAGATTGCTAGATACATATCAATATCAGAGATGAATCATGAAGATATAAAAAAACCTAAATAATCCAATATCAGTCACTGAAATTGAAAATGTAAATAAAAACCTACCAACAAAGAACAGGCCAAGCCCTGATGGTTTCACTACTGAATTCTACAAGAAATTTAGAGGAGATCTAATGCCACTATTCTTTAAATTCTTCAATGAATTTGAAAGGGGAGCAATACTCCCCAAATCATTGCTTGAAGCAAGTATTAATCTGATGTCAAAACCAGAGAAGGATCCAATCATAAAAGAAAGCTACAGGCCAATCTTCCTAATGAAAATATGCAAAAATCCTCCACCAGATACTGGCAAACAGAATGCAGTAAATTATAAGGAAAATCATACATCATGACCAAGTAGGTTTCATCCCAGAGATGCAGAGTTGCTTCAACACATGCAAGTCCATAAATGTAATGCACTATATCAACAGAGTGAAAGACAAAAGATATATGATCATCCAGAGAGGCAAAGAAAAGCATTTGATAAAGGCCAACATTCACTTGTGATTAAAAAAACTCTACAGAAAATCGGAATTGATGATCTTTACCTCAATCTGATAGAAGGCATCTATGTGAAACCAGCAGCCAAACTAAATGGTCAAAAATTCAAAGCTTTCCCCATTAAATTAGGAATAAGACAAGGCTGTCTACTGTCACCACTTCTATTCAATATAGTTCTGGAAACATTAGCCAAAGTAATTAGACAAGAGAAAGAAATAAAACGAATAAAAAAAGAAAGGAAGAAATTTAATTATTATTGTTTGTGGATGATTTGATACTCCACATACAAGATCCCCCAAACTCCACCACAAGACTTCTAAGTTTAATAACCAAAATCAGTAGAGTAGCTAGATGCAAAGTCAACACTCAAAAATCAATAGTCTTCCTGAACACAAATAACAAACTCACTGAGAGAGAAATTAGGAAAACAACACCTTTTACAATAACATCAAAAGTGAAATACTTTGGAATCAGTCTCACAAAGGAAATTAAAATATTTACATTGAAAGTTACAGTACTCTAAAAAAGGAGTTGAATAGGATATCAGAAAAATGGAAAGATATCTCTTGCTCATGGGTAGGAAGAACCAACATAGTGAAAATGGCCATACTCCCAAAATTGTTATACAGATTTAATGCAATCCCAATCAAAACACCATTAGCATACTTCACAGAACTTGAAAAATTATTCCTGAAATTCATTTGGAATCAGAAAGAGACATAGAATAACAAAAATAATTCTGGGCAACAAAGGTAAGGTAGTGGCATCATAAACCCTGGCTTGAAGTTATATACAAAACTTCTGTGATTAAAAACAGCATGGTGCTGGCAAAAAAAAGGAAAGAAAAAGAAAAACAGGTCTGATCCTCAAGGAAAGAGAGTAGAAGATGAAAAAAATAAATAAATAAAAACAACCCTCAAACACTCAGCCACCTTGTCTTTGACAAAGGGTCCAAACATGTTCGCTTGTTCACTGGAAGAAGGACAGCTTTACTAATGGTGCTGGAAAAACTGGTTTCTTTATGCCAAAGACTAAAACAAGACCCATGTCTCTCACCTCGCACTAAACTAAAATCAAAGCAGGTCAAAGATCCAAACATTCAAACAGACACTAAATCTCCTGGAAGAGAGAATAGGCAGACGGCTTGGGGACACAGGAGTAGACAAAGACTCCATGAACAAAATCCTGATCCCATAGGAAATACTACAAATAATCAAAACTGGGATCACATCTTATTAAAAAGCTCTTGCACAGCAAGAGAAATCACCAACAGAGTGAAGAGAGAGCCCACAGAGTGGGAAAAAAAACTCAGCCAGGTTCCTCAGTCAAAGGACTACTATCTAAAATACATAAACAAATGAAAAAAATAAGTCCACCCAAATTTAAAGACTCAATTCTAAAATGGAGATCTGAGATGAATACATGCTTTTCAGATGAAGAAGCAGAAACAGCAAGTGAATATCACTGTTCATCTGAGAGATGCAAATGTGAACAATGCTGCTATCCCTCCTCACCCCAGAAAGAATGGCTGCTATCAATAAATCAACCAATAACAAATGCTGGTGGGAGTGTGTGAAAAAATGAACCTTTTCCACCATTGGTGGGAGGGTAGACTAGTGTAGCCACTGTAGAAATCAGTGTTGTTATTCTCTAATCATTTTTGTCATAAAATTATTTTTTCATATAATAGCTTTTATATTTTAATATCTACTTGTATTATATTAAAACAATGTTTTAAAGAAATGAACCAGAGCCGGGGATTTAGCTCAATGGTGCCACTGCCTCCCTTGCAAGCGCAAGGACCCAAGGTCGATCCCTAATACCAAAAAAAAAAAAAAAAAAAAAAAAAAAAAAAAAAAAAAAAAAAAAAAAAAAAAAAAAAAAAAAAAGAAAGAAAGAAAGAAATGAACCAGACAAAAATCAGTGAGGTACTAGAGTCAGGAGTGAGATGTGCGTGTTCAGTGTGCTGTGCTAGACATCTGGCCTGTGTGAGTAGTCTCCTAGGGAAGAGTGCTTTTTCTTAAATCAAAATCTTTTGCTTGCTATCATTCCGGAAGCAACTGTCTTCCAGCAAAGTGCTCCACAGATGATCTTGTCTTACGAAAGAAAGTGAGCTCCTCTTCATGTGTCAGCCTTTCACACTCTGAGCTACTCCAGGACTGGATCTACAAGAGGTGAACTCCTGGCTCCTACGTTGCCTTTGCCTGGTCCAGGAAGCTTGGAAAATGCTGGAAGAAATCAAGAATATTTCTTTAATGCAGACATATATGGAATCTATACTATGCTAACAAACTTTGTAAACTACCGGAAAACAGCAAGTGTTTCTTCGCAATGTGGGGGGCAACACCTTGCAGAACTGTTACTTAAACAGTTTGTGAAACATGAACTGAAATGAATCAATCGGCATGAAAACTGAATAAGGACCGGTGCGCGTTGGGCGGGGATTGTCCCAGGCATTCTTCCCTACCTCTCAGGAACTGATACTTCAGAAACCATAAATGTGCGAGCTTAACAAA